GGTTTTTTGTGTTTTTTTTTGGTAGGTGGAGTGTCTACTTTTAAATTGGCCTATGAACAGTTGTACCAACTGGAACTCCAACCACCTAATGTTATGAAAGCGCTCCTCTCTTCACACCTTTAGCACCGGTGGGCGGACATTCTCATTCTCCTTACTCTTTGCCAATAGAAGGGATGAAATGTTCTCTGAGTGTTCAGTTGTGTGTGATGACCAGGTACACTAAGCAATTCTTGCTACGTTGCCAGACATTCTTATTTCTTCTTCGTAAATTGCCCCATACACGCCATGACCCTATTTGGTAGTATTAGCTTTGGGATAAGGCAAAAGGGTGAAACATAATCCACAGAGTCTGTACGAATGCACTGGCATTGTCAGAAAATGCACGGACATTCATGACCAGAACAAATGTCCATTCTTTGCCTAAGTGGACACCTTGCTGCGTGTCCTTCAGAAGGAAGCTAACATTTCCAGAACACCTATTACGGAGGGCACTCCCTCCTCTGAACAGTCCTATTCATTTAGTTCTTATAGCTTCATTTAATTTCAACAGTAGCCTGTAATTCCCACAAAAGCTCTCAAAGACACTTCATATTCTGCCTATTTTCACAAATACAAAAATCAAGGCTCCCATGGCTCACAGTCACAGGACTACATACATAGAGGGACGGGGATTTAAGCCCAAGACATTTCAAGTCCAAAGTAATTTTTTCTCTGTTCTCTAGACACCATTGCCTAGGGCAGCGACCCTCGCCTTCCTACGGGGGCCTCTGAATTCAGAGCCCTGTTAATGGCCTTCCGTCCCCTGCACACATATCTCCCACCCTCCCACCCACATCCAAAGGAGTGTCGGGGTCTCTGTGCTATTGAGGAAAAACCGATAATAGGGAAAAATCCATTTTAGTTCATTTCACCCATTTTATAAATTTTTCTTCTGTGTGTGTGGTGTATTTTAAAATCTGAGTAATGGTTTAATTCCCCAGGGTTGGAATGAATAAAAGCAGAGGTGGATCCAAGATCTCCTCTAATAAATTATTGCTTTTGGGATTTGAAGTGTATATCATTTAAGAGATTTTTTTAAAAAAAAAAAAAAGAAAAAGAAGACAAGATTACTAATACAAAATTAAGGGCAAGAGTATTTAGAATGAAAAAGTTGCTATAAAGTTTACATTTAAAAAAGATTTAAATGCTGCGAACATCACAAAATCCAAAACATTCCACAATATTTTTACTTAACTGTTGGATAACCCTGTGAATTTTCATTCTCACAAAAGCCTTCTTCCCCTCTCGCCCCCCGCCCCAATTCCTTGAAACCATCTATTTTTACTTATGCACAAAACTCGCCATGGCTTCCACAAATTTGACTGACCCTCCTCCAGCCATGCACGTCCACGGGGAACTGCATTGTTATTGTCAGAGCCTTTAGAACAGTCTCTGACTCTTGACTAGGGCATCTTGATTCTCTCTCCTTTCTCTATTGCCCCTGGACAAGAGAGCAAACTACCTTCTGCCCCAGGTTGCAATGGCCGCACATTTTTTATTGATTTTTAGAGAGAGAGGAAGGAGAGGGGGAGGAGAGAGAGAGAAACATTGATCGGTTGCCTCCTACACGCACCTGCACTGGGGACAGAACCCGCAACCCGGGGAATGTGCCCTGAGAACTGGCGACACTTTGCTGTAAGGGAAGATGCTCAACCAACTGAGCCACACCGGCCAACGCTTGATTCTCATTTAAACAGCACACTAGATTATAGCTACTTCACGCTCTCCAACAGGTCCTACGCTAAGGTGGAGGAGGGCCATGGTAGACACCCGTTTTTAAAACTTTGGATCATGTTATCTAGTCAGAATCACACTCCCTTGAGTGATGACAGTGTTCACATTTGGTGCTGAATTATTCATAACTTAGTCATTCGCTCTGCAGAGGATGCCGTCTTGGTTATACTACAACGCAGTTTCCCTTCTTTTTATCCATTAGTCAACATCACACTCTTTCCTTACATAAGCAAAATGCTTTGTCATTAGTGCTATGTAGAAGGTTTTAGTTTTTGACAATTTGTATTAGTTCAGATTCCTTAATTTGCAAACAACAGAAAACGCAAGCTGGCTTGTAAAATAAGATAAAAGAGCTCACAAAGCCCAAGTCCACACATACCCGAGGCTTTGGGGTAGATGACAATTTCTTGGCTCGGCCCTCTGCTCACTGGAGCCTCATCATCAGCCTGGTAGCAAGACAGCTGTGGCCTCACACCCGGGACCAGCCTTGTCCAGAGAGACCCCTCCCAGGGCGGTCTCTGAACAAGGATTTCCCCCAGAAGCTCCAGAAAACCTCCCTTGTGCCTGTTGGCCTGAACCAGCCCCAGGGAAGGGGGTGAGGTGACCCCTGGTCAGATCTAGCCCTTTCTGGAGCGAGTGGAGGCAGGAGCTGGGTTGGATCAGCTTCCCCTGAGGCACAGGGGCTTCCTGATGAGGGGGCCATGCCTGAGATGCTGGGGTTCTCAGAGGCAGGAGGAGATAGGAGCAGGCATGGGGGGCGGGGGGTTGGGCACCATCCCTCCTCTACAGAAGTCATTCTAGTTGTCCGAGTGATACTTTGTTCATTTCTGAACTTAGTTCTCCAGTTTCCAGGTGATAAGACCAGGCTCCTTCGTGCCAGCTGATGACCATGAAGAAGAAGCTCAAATGATGTCCAGTATCTTTTTCCTCAGAAAATGAGGCTGCATGTGTTACATACAAGACTAACATACTTTTTTTTTTAGCTAAAGGAATGAAATTTTAGTTTGTAAAAGTGCTCCACAGGTCTTAACTGTCATAGTTTCCATAAAAAGACTGGCTAGATTTTACTGAGAACACAGGGGTGGGCAGAAGTTGTTTTATAGTTGCGACACAAATAAATCATACAATAAATAAATAAATAATCATGCAAGGATAAGCTCTGAGTTTTGCGTACGCACAACGGAAACCTACTGTTGCCCACCCTTGTGCTTGCCACACAGAGAGAACCTCTCCCAGTTCCTCCCGGAGGTGCGCATAACGGGGTGGCTGGTTGCTTGGTTTCACCTGGGCTTTGGGGTGTCCCGAGCCACCGAGGGGCGTGGTCCTAAACTCTGGTTCTGTCTCCTGCCTTCAGAGGCGCTTTCTTTCTTGAATCAAACCTCAGGCGGCTCCTAACCTTTCCGGATTTGCTGCTCTCCCTCTCTCCTCTTTGGGAGGCGGGACAGAGACGGGCTGCACAGACATCCTTGACTTGAGGTGAACACCCACCTTCTTTCCCGGGGGTGTCATAAACACGAGTGTTCTAAAAACATTTTTACCAAGTGCTCCCGGGAGAGGCAAACAGAATGCTATCAGCCCAGCAGGTTCCCCACGAAAGCTTTTAGGTGGGAGGAGGGAGCAAGGAAAGTCGTGTACACGCCTCTGGCAGTTTTCAGATTTGAGGCAATTTTAACAAAGTATCCACGTTCTAGAAATTATTTCGGCTTTCACCATCAACTAGTTCACAGAGTGGGCCTGGCTTCACTTTTCCCACTTGGTGCCTCGCTGGGCAAGGTTAGCGCATCTGAGTGGTATTTCTTGAAACTGAAAAGTGATAAACGAGGTTTGTCTTTATTATTACCAAGGATATTTTGGAAAAAAAAATATATATATATGTATTTTTTTATTTTTTTTTTACTGATTTTAGAGAGGAAGGGAGAGTGAGAGAGAAACATCAATGATGAGAGAGAACCATTGATTGGCTGCCTCCTCCACGCCCCCTACTGGGGATCGAGTCTGCAACCCTGGCACATGCCCTTGATTGGAATGAACCCGGGACCCTTCAGTCCACAGGTCAATGCTCTATCCACTGAGACAAACCAGCTAAGGCCCAAGGATACTTTTAACATCCGTTCGATGTGCTAATAGTCCCTTCTTCAGAGAATTAATTAAATCGAGAGCAGCAGTCCCCAGAACTGCAGTGTGAGGATTTGCGGACAGGATGGACTTGAGCCAGGCAGTGGCCCTTGGCGGCAAGGGCTGCTCTCAGGGGGAGCTCTCTGTGCATCTCCCAGTGAGGACCACGGCCTGTTTCCCACTGGCCCCTCAGGGATCTCAGAGCTGGCGGGCTATGGGCACATTATTCCAACTCACCCGGGAGATCAACTACAGATCCAGGTGACGGAGCCGGAGACTCAGAAGGCCATAGAGAAGTTTCCAGAGACCCTCTGAATTCCCAAATGGTCACTAGAGTTCATGTACGGCTTACAACTCTCTGCAAAGGTGGAAGGAGTTTCACCGCATACAAACCCCCATGGCCGAGTGCATTCCACCCCATGACTGCTGGGGGTCCTGGGAGCTACCCTGTGTAAATGGGGCGTGGCCATCACTATGGTGGGGCTATGACAGCTGACTCTGGCCCAAGCTGGGCCTGGCAGTCTGCGCCGACGCGGGGCATGTGCACGAGGGACTTATGTTTCCGGGTCCCAGCTGTGCTCCAGTTTCATCCTGGCCTCGCAGCCCTGCTCTCCTCCGTGCTTATTGTGCTGGCACTTTCCATCTCGCTGGCTGCCCACTCTTCCCGTTGGGTGACTTTTCAGCCCACAGCTGCCTACAGACGGTGTCGCACATGATTTTCCTTTTGTCTCCTCGGCTAGCCCTGGGATTTTTCTCCCTCCCCAGAGCAATCCCTGCTGCCTTTTTTCTGCCCAAGATTTTGTTTTGGTCAAACATCCCCCCCCCCTTTCTCCCTGGAACAGCATGAAGTATTGCATCTCTCACTTTATAATTTTAACTTGGGGAAGGGCTGAACCGGCAAAGCTCAGGACTCCTGCTCTTGAGCCTGGCCGTGCGAAGTTCTGCGCCCTTGTCTTTAGCTCATCCTGCCACCCACCTCTGAGGACAGGGCCTGAGCGGTAGAGGATGTTGGGAGAATGTTATGGCGCAAGTGTCGGAGTGGGTCCCGGTGGGAACAGGTTGGGGAGGTGGATGGCCTGGGCAGGAAAGAGATGCTCTCTGGACGGCCTTACCTGCCTCCCACCTTGCTGACGGCTAGTCCATCCGCAGTGCATTGTCTTCAGGACCAAGCAGGGCCCTGGGATTCACCGGGGATGCAGGGCTGGCTCACCCCGGGTCCTGGTTGACTTCAAGACATTTGGCCTCAGCAGGATTCCTGGATTCTGCAAAATAATGTTAACCCAATTTTAAGAAGCGCTGGTATCTCTGGTTGGGGGGCTTATTTTATTTCAGTTCTCTTCGTTATACTGATAGGTTGTTCTTAGAATTGACCAAGTATGTCACTGAGCAGTCCGGCTGCTTAGCTGGAGATTCACCAATGAATGACATGGCCTGTTCTCTTGTTCCTGTGTAAGCACAGCCTTAGAACATCAGCCTCTGTTAGTGAACAAGCAAGGCCTCCGGGAGTGTGGCCTAGTAGCTAAGAACGCAGGTGCTGGGGCCGCAGAGGCCTGGGGTCAGTTCCAGAAACCACCTTGTGTTGCTGCGGGACTACTCCATGTCCTAATCTTTTCATCTGAAAATGGGATCACAGCAACACCTACCTTGTAGCATTTCCTGGCCAGGTAGCCCAGTTGGTTAGAGTGATGCCCCAATACACCAAGGTTGTGTGTTTGATCTCGGGTCAGGGCACATACAAGAAGCAACCAATGAATGCATTAAAAAAAAGTGGAACAAATTGATGTTTCTCTCTCTCTCTCTCTCAAATCAATAAAATAAAAAATAAAAAAGAGGGAATAATGCTGCATACAAAGGGCTCACACAGTGCCAAGCAGGCACTAAGCAGTCAACAGACGCCACCACTATTTAATATTAGTCGGAGGCCAACAGACCGGTTATTTAATAGCCAGTATCTTGACAATCAGGAAGACTTACAGCATCTTCCCAGCGAGACTAATTTATCCCAGAGAGTGGTATCCAGGGAAGAAGTCACGCCCGCAGCCTGCCCGACCCAGCTGTGTCCAAGGGTGGGGCACAGCAAAAGGGTCCTTCTCCCCAGCATCTGCAAACCACCACTGCACATGCGGAAAGCAGCACCCACGTAACTGTGGGCTCTGGGGGAAGGAACAAAGCTTGGGGACTTCGGAGAACTCTGAGCCCAATTGGTTCCCAGTCCATGATTTGTGTCCATGATGCACACATATGTGTATGGCCTCGTGCATGTATATGCATATGCACAGGCTGTGCGCGCACGCGCGCACACACACACACACACACACACACACACTCACAGGTTAGAGCTCCATTGCACCGGATGTATTTTTCCTTGTCTTCCTCCTCATCTCTCGCATCCTTTGCAGCCCAGGCGGGCATAATGATGATTGCTTCGCTGGCTCGGCCCTGCAGCTCTCCAGAGCGGAGCAGATGTCGACAGCTCGGAAAGCTCTCATGCTATTACACAGCAGAACAAATGAGGATGTCAAAAAAGGCTCTTCAGTCTAACAAGAAAACAGAGGAAAGAGACAAAAAGAATGAAGCCTTTGGAGACCAGCAGATTCGCTCTGATTAGATCTTATGCTAACACGATGCCCACTCCGCGTGCTAACAGTGATTTAATGTGCTTAAAGGGTACAGGGGAAATAGGTTCTGGGGGGGAAAAAAGAGGGAAGAGAATTTCTTTCCTGGCAGCACGACTGAGATGGTGGGGGCTTCCTAGGAAAATGCGGCTACACCTGAGACTGTCGAGTGCAGGCCCACGTGTGTTTACCTACAATTTACCTAGATGCCTGGCATCCCATTGCCTGGGCAGCCGCTGCTTTCTCCAGCACTGGGTGAATGACAGGAGCGGTTCCGATGGGTTAGCTGGCTGGGTGCATATGGAATGGAGGCCTCCCTGTTAGGCCATCGCTTCTGCTTTTTAATACGGGGGCCACATTTTTAAAAGATTTTATATGTGGGCCCATGAGTCCACAAATCCTAATTCTCCAAAACAAAGGTTAAAAAACACCCTAGAATTTTGGCAGAGTGGGGAGAGAGAGGTCCCTGAGCCATCAATGGGTGGACTGAAGTTCATGTATGATAGATCTATAGTTTACTGACTGTCTTCGGTTCCTTTCTCTGAACCTATTTCCTCATCTTCTCCTTATAATCCTAACGATTAATGTCATAGTTCTCTTTCATCAGACCACGGCAGAATGGAGGAAATACTTTAGAAAGGCCACCTCTGGGTTAGGGAGGATGAAGTCAAAGGCTGTTAGATTTATATCAAATCCTGACGGCATCAGAGTGGCATCCGATAAGCTGACACTAAATGAGAAGACACATACTACAATGAAGCGGGGAGAATTGCATGTGTTTGTTTGTTTCCTTATTTGTCCTTACATCCTTTCACGGTGGATCTGAGGCAGTTGTCTAGGGGCTTTTGCTATATAGGTAAAGAGTAGCACATATTTCAAAAATCCCTGAAGAATAAAAGTAAAAAAATAAATAAATAAAGCAACTCCCTGGAGGCGAGCCAGTTACCCACGTTCACTGTTGAAATGCAATAAATGGAAAACCCCAGGAATTTCCCCTGCTCCCCCAAATGCCCAGACTCTACATCCAGATGTCAGGAACTGTCCAGAAGCACAGACCTCTCAGTGGGATAGGAACTCAAAAGTCACCTGCTCCCGGGTTGCTTCCCGACAAGTGGGTAACGGCCTGTGCTTGAAGCCATCTAGTGAGCCTCCCTCGCGAGGTGCCAGGCACTGTCAGAGTGCTCGAATCATTAGAAAATTCCTGCTCATTTGAACCTAAATATGCCAGTTTGTATCTTCACCCCTTTGGCTTTCACTCCAGGGCCCCAGAGAGAAACAACCGCAGCCTGTGACACATACAAGGTCAGGGGTCATAACACCAATAACCCCTCCCCCACATCCCTCTCTGATGGCCCAGCCCCAAAGCTTTCCCATTCCATACGTGACATGATTTCAAGTCCTCAACTCCTCCAGCTTATCAATGCTCACTTTATAAGGTGAACCGACGTACCAAAACCTCGCACAGTTCTCTAGGTCTGAGCTAAGGGCCTGCAGGCAGCCTGGAGAGGTGGTCTAGCCTACTGTTCGGTCAGAACACCCGTGTCCATAGCCTGGCTCTAGCTCTAGTATGTGACTTTGGACAAGTGACTTAATCTCTTTGAGCTTCCGTTTCTTGATCTGTAAAATGGGGGAATAATAGCCCCCAAAGGCCAGTAGTGAGAGTAAGGGAGAGAATCCACCCAAGGATGTTTGCCATACAGGAAGTACTCCGCAAACCGGGGCCATCATCTTGGAGGGAGGAAAGATGTCGCCTCCCTTGCATTCTCCCCACATTCCCACTGCAACCAACGCTCACAGTGCACTAGTGACCCATTCTGAGCCTTCAATCAATGGAAACGTCTCCAGCATGTCAACATAGGCCACTGCCAAACATCTCTCTCTGCTGCTCATTCCATTTTATTTGCTCGTGTAGGGCCAAGTGTAGGACTTTACATTTACCCCCATTAAACATAATCTTAGCAGGTCCGGTCCACCGTTTCTGCCTGCCGCATCTTTTTTACATTGCAATCCTGCTGCTCTTCCAGCTTTGTGTCACCCACACCTTTTATCAGCAGGCCACCGATGTCTTCATCCAAGTCATTCATAAAAATACTTAACAAGGGAAGACGGAGGCCAGAAACCTGTGGTGTGAGAGAGCCTTTCTCTAGATCCACATCAACCCATTAATTACGGTAGTTCTCCGCATCCAGTCAGTTACGCGCCTACCTGACCTGGCCACCATCAGCCCTTGCCCAGAGGTGCATCTCACTTTAAGCACAGACTTCATCTTCAGGTGCATTGTTGCAAGTCCAAGGCATTCTGTTTACACAACAACCAGAAAACCAGTCCAGCAGCTCCATCAGAAAGAAATGCATACGCCTATGCATGGACTCCTCACCTCTCACCGGGAACAGTGTCCAGCTCACTAGACAGGAGATCATCCAAACTCCCCGCCCTTTATTTAAAAGATCAACAATTGTGTTTTCCGACGGTCTTAGGTGACCCCTGTGAAAGGGTCGTTCGACCCCCAAAGGGGTCGCGACCCACAGGTTGAGAACCGCTGCTTTAGAGCCTGCTCTTTTGCCTTGGGCTTCATTTTCTGTCACCAGTACCTGTGGGAACCCTACCTCTTCCACCTTGAAGTCACTTTCCTGGGTGGGGACTAAGGAAGGAGCATAAATGCTGAAAGGATTTATTTTCTTTCTGTCATCTGTTTATAGCAGCGGTCGCCAACCTTTCGGACCTCATGGACCACCGGTTGGCAACCGCTGGTTTATAGTATACCAGTGGCAATACTGATCTCAAGCAATGGACACAGGTTTTGTCCTCTGCCAAATATAAAAATGCTTTTTGTTTTCTTTGTATTAAAGGTCTAGGTGCCACCCAGCCGGCATGAGTCAGTGGTTGAGTGTGGACCCATGAACCAGGAGGTCACGGTTCAATTCCCCATCAGGGAACATGCCTGGGTTATAGGTTCGATCCCTAGTGGGGTGCTTGCAGGAGGCAGCTGATCAATGACTCTCTCTCTCATCATTCATGTGTCTGACTCTCTCTCTCCCTCTCCCTTCCTCTCTGAAATCAATAAAAAAATATATTTTTTAAAAAGTCTGGATGCCTCTTAGAAGCCCTGGGAGCAGGCCCAGAAAGCTAGATGGGTCGCCACCAGTCAGCTTGCAATGACAGTGGCTTACTGAGGGGACCCTTACTTTCCTAGTCACTGGGGTCCTGACTGTCCCCCAACCCCATCTCCCATGTCAGATCCTGGTCCCAACCATCGCACCACCATTGGTAAAAACAATGGTTAGGATCTTGGAATTCTAAGTCTATCAAATGCCACCACATACTATACATGCAGCCTCGCACCAACCTGTAAGGGACGAAAAGCAGTAATTACTTCCGAGTGGCTGTGAAGATCATGTGGTATCACAACTTTAAAAGTACCACATGCGGTACCTGGCACCTGGTCCAGGTTAAGGAATGCTGACCCACTATCGCCTCTGGTTTCTGCCTTGGTCTTGTCCCCACTTGGTTCTGCTCTCATCACCCAATCCTTTCATCCA